TTAGTATACAAAACTATGGTTTGTAGTTATTTGTATTTCAAAGTCAGTAGCTATGCCAGCGCCATCAATACAGTTTCTCGTAACAAAATTTGTAAGTACAAGAAATTCGTACTTTTTTTTAAAATATCTTGTTAACAATGAAGAAATGTATCTTTAAAAAAAATTAACAGATGAGTTGCACCCTCTTTCATATAATTCTGCTGGCGTCCTTGTAACTGCCTATTAGTCTTAAACAAAAATTTAAAGTTGATAATAAGCAAAACCATTCTGAAGTCGCATTTTTATAGTATTGTTTTGTATGAAGATGACTTTTCTAATTTTTAGTTATAATTTTAATAAAACGTAATGTGTTAAAGTTATTTAGATTGCCTAAAGACTGTTAGTCATTTAGAAGCTACTCACAATTTGAAGAAAAAAAAGAATTACTCAATGCAGCAAATTTGTTTCCTAACTAATAAATTTATTTTTTGAAATATGTTTAAAAATTGAATAAAACGCCTTTTTTTAATGAAAGAAACATTGTTAAATTAATTAATGTAGATATGTCTGTGTTTTAAAATAAAAATGTTTTACTATATCTTTTAATTAGTAGTTATATATTTTTGTTAGTTGTTTAAACATAGATATTAAACAGCCGTATGCTCAGCCCCTGCATTGGATTGGAATGTTTTCGACATTCAGTTTTTTACCTAGCAAATTATGCATTAGTTTAGGTGTTGTTATGGTAGGATAATTTATTAAAAACATTTAACGTTCTTTAAAATGTAATGAATGTAAGCATTTTAAAGAAATTTCTTTTTAAATTTTTGATCTTGCTTAATAATTAATTCAGCGGATATTTTAGGAATATTATTTTAGATTGAGGGATGTAATAACATTTAAAATTAAAATGAAGTTATTATCAAAAATTAAATTTTTTTATTTTTTATCAAAATTAAAACTGTAAGTGTTTTAGGTGTCTTTCTATAATGTCCAACCACGTGACTGTTAATTACCTTCCTTATCATTGAAAAATGTTTACTAAAAATTGTTTTAATCTTTAAACAATGAGGAAATGGGTTTTATAGTTTCTTCCTCTTTCTTGATTGTTCAATCATTTCCTCTTCTATCACAGTGCTTCCTATAGATCTATTAATGTTCTTTCTATTTAATATACGTATAGGTGTGTACTAAAGTTAAATTAATTTTAAGTTAATACCAGACGCGTACACCCAAAAGCGCGGTCTTCATCGCGGAAAACTATTATACTTAAAAAAAAAAATTATAATTACAGTGGAAATTTCCATATCGTAATCCTCAAAATAGATTTTTCCAGACAATAGGTCTTTAAGGTAAACAAACATAAAAATATCCTTATTCATTATAAATATCAAATAGACGATAATTAGTCAGGGGCTAATAGACAGGGTGCGTAGCGTTTTTAATAAGTGCTTAAAGATGCTTATTTTTGATTTACGTTATTAAAAAGGCTTTAGACTTTAAGGCAAGGTCTTTAGCAATAGGTCTTTAAGGTAAACAAACATAAAAATATCCTTATTCATTATAAATATCAAATAGACGATAATTAGTCAGGGGCTAATAGACAGGGTGCGTAGCGTTTTTAATAAGTGCTTAAATATGTTTATTTTTGATTTACGTTTTTTAAAAGGCCTTAGAAGTGCATTTTTTATTCGGTATTTGTAAAAAGTGCTTAATTTTCTATCTTTAAGATAGAGATTTTTTCTTTGCCTTATCGATTGTGGTTCTAAAATACAAAAAATGTATTCTTTTGTGTAATTATCTTTGCAATATTAATCAGAAACTAGTTATTTTAGCATGGTTATGTAAAGCTTTAGAAAATGTTTTTGAATTTTATTGATTTTATGTTTGTAAATTAAGAACTTTAAATGATAGAAATTTTTTTTTATTCCTGCACAGATCCTAATTATGATTTTTTTTATTTTTTAGAAAGTGATTAAAAATATTTTTAAGTGCTTAAAAAGTACTTAAAAGGTGCTTATTTTTTGTTGAAAAATCTGGCTACGCACCCTGTCAATATCAATCAACAACGAATAAGTCCACGTGATTTTCGTGGTTGTGCTGTTTTCGCAGCTTTAGTTTGTTATAGACTTGGTTTTTAAAATCTCGATAGTTACGTATGCCATAATAAAATACTGCAAATTCCGAATCGTACATTTATCATTTCGCAATCCACTCGATTAGCGATAATTCCACTGCGAACCCGCTTGGTTTTACCGNTTTTTTTTTTTTTTTTTTTTTTTTTTTTTTTTTTTTTAGTAGTTATTAAAGCGGATTTTCATTTCGTTTTTAAAATCCCAATGTTTCTTTACTATTTCGACTTCGAATCGCGCATTTCGCACTCAATTATTGAGATTCACCCTCAATCTCACGAACTTTTACGATCGCATTTTTGTCAATTATTGCTGCCGATTTCAGTTTTCAATGCTACATTATCATACACGGGGAATTCCAAATCCGCTTTTGAATGATCACACAATGGCCCGCTTTAGTCGTAACGATTTCCTCTCAAATCGTCAAAATGTGAAGTGTTTTTCAAAATGTGAAATTTTTGCTCTCTCTGAAATTGAGTGCGTGATTCTTGGCGGTAACATTCCTTTAATGCGAGACGTGAAAAAAAATTCGCGATTTTTTTTTTTCGCGCTGTCATTATATGCTTAATTTAGTTAACGAGTTATTTATTTTCTTTCTTTTTTTCATATTGTTGTAGAAATCTGATTATAATCGGAAAAAAATCAAAAGTCCAGTAAGAATCATAAAAAAATGTAGGATTCTCATCTCTGCATATATTTTTTCAACAAGTCGCAAGTATAAATTTTTATTTTATTTCTTTGAAAAGGAAAAGAGTTTTGTTTATTCTAATTGTTAAAAAAGTGTCCGAAAAAGAAACCCTTTCGGTAAACGGACTTCCAGATATGGAACTTAGTACTGCACTAAAAGCGAAAATTACTTTTACTAAATTACATTACTAAAAAAAATAAAAAGTCCGCCTCTTCAAACAAAGCGTGTCTTTTTTGAATTCCCAGGAGAGAGAAAAGAAATAATTTTTTTTTACGCTTTCTTCTACTAATGCGATTTAAAACTACATTCACATGATTTAAAATCATATTATCGCGATTCTTGTTTTTACGGTTTTGCATCAAATATCGTGTTTCGTATTCACGTGATTTTAAAGCCACTATTATGATTCGTGTTCAAGTGACTTAAAAATTATAGATCGAAATTCACGCCATTTTTAAATCAAACATCAATATTCGTATTAACGCGATTTAAAAATTATTGCAAAAAAACTTTTTCAAGGAGTTTTTAAATTGTGAAAAACAGATGATTTGGTAGCAGTTTTTACAAAAGAAATGTTAAAGCTCATTCGAAATAGACATTTTTTTAGAAGACACAAAGAAATTATCAATTTTATTAATTGTAAATTTAATTGCACAAATATTGAGTAAAAAATTGTAAAAGTAGTTAGAAGGCTTAAAATTTTTTTTTAACAATTTCAACCTTTAAAAAAATGTATTTGAATGTTTAAAATTTTTTAAAAACTTAAAAAACTATTGCTTTAGTTTCTTAGAATTTTTTTTTAATAATTATTTTAAATATATATTGAAGAACAAGATATAGTAAAATCTATGTTTCTTGTTGTTGACTTAATATTAACTAAGATCTTGGTTATTATCTAATTATCTTGGAAATTAATCTTTAGATTTTGTTTTTTGTTTTTGATTTCTCAAAAATTCTGCTGTGATTTAGATGAAAGACTTAAATTACATTTTGAGACAAAATGGAAGTATTTTCTACATTAAATATTAAGATTTTATCAGCAATTGAAATTATATTAAGAGACACACAGGCTCAATTGACACAAAATATGAGGGTCATTCTGCAACTGCAAGGTCACTCCACCCCCTGTTCTTCTGTTGTTTCATTCACCTTTAGAGAATATTGGCTTGTTTGTTGGATGGTTTTCTGAACCATAAATCTCTACTGAAAAGACCCTCCCTTGAAAATATGGAACTCATTCTCTTCAATGTCAAACAAGTGGCTTTTCTGCTGCACTCTATTCTTCATTTAGTAAAACTTTTTCTTAGAGAACTTTAACCGTAAAAAAATTAACCTAAGAATTTATAATTAATGAAAAAGAACCTTATATTTTTAAAGCAAACAGTACTTAAAAAGGGAGGAAATTTACAGAATATTAAATTTGTGTCTTGTTCGTTGGCCCCCTTACGTGGCTTGCCTGCCCCTACTTCAACTCATTAAATATGTTCAGATATTTTATTCACTTGAAAATGTCTGTAAAAAGCAATGCCTCACTTATCTATTTAACAATGATTTGTTTTTTCTGTCTCAAAACATGTTGAAAAGGCATTTTTCTCTATTCAAGCTCAATTTATGAAATACCCTTATGTGATAGGAAAAAAAAGGATGTGATAGTTGAAATTAGCGCACTGAACAATAAAAAATAAGCTATTGCTGAATTGCAAACACTTTTTCGTAATTCAAATGTGTGATAGGATTATTCATTTTTTTTCCCCGATTAATGTGCAATTGAAAAAGTTGTTGAAAACCATGTTGTGAGGCATGAAAATGTTTCTTTTTGGCATGTTTTAATTTATTATAAAATTAATGTTTCATTGACTTAGTAGATTGTTATAATAAATAAATTTATTTAGTTAATTTAATTTAAAGAGTTTTTTTCAAAGTAATGTTGCACAGTTATTAAATAATTATTTTGTTATTCATGTATGTTATTTTAATGGTTAGAGACAGCAATATTGGATCGATACATGAACCACCAGAAACAATTTAGTTTTCGTGCAATTTAGATTGCGAAGCTCACTTTTTTAATCTTCGTATAAAAAGTTATTAAAATATTTGCCAACAAAAATATTCTATTTATTATTGACACATTTGTAAGCAAATTCATTTGATTGTTTGCTCAAATATTATTTTTAATTTTTAAACAATCTACTTTTTTGCAGTATCGATTTTATGGAGAACCTGTAGTTAAACAATGTGTACTAAATGGAGCACACTATGTCGATGTCTGTGGAGAGCCACAGGTATATCTTGAATATGCTTATATTATTTATATTTTATTCTATTATTTTGTTGCTCTTGTTTCAATGTGCTTAGTTGGTTTAAGTATATATGTTTAAAATAATTTTAAAAAATATATTAATGAATCCAAGGTAGAGCGTAAGTAAAGCTATTATAAATTTTCGAAAAAATAAAAATAATTTTTTGTCCGGTTATTACTTATTTATTGCAGGATATCCCAAACCTAAGTTGAAAATTAATTCAAAACAGAGTAGTAGCACACTTTTCTAAATTTGGACACACAGATTTATGTATTTGCGCAATTACTATTTTTACAATTATTCATTAGATTATGATTGCTGGTAAAAATGACTGCTTAAAATCATATATATTGATTGCTTAAAATAAAAGATTTTGATCACTTGTAACCATATACTAGTTATCACGTCTTGTTGTAATTACAGGTAATCTTAATCACATTCATCATCTGAAATCGTTACTTATAGCTTATAAAAATAATTACAAGTAGTTTATTACCAATGTGCGTTTTATTTGTAGTTGTCACAATCGAAGTCAATTAAAGTATTCTGTGCCCATTTTTGTTGAGCAGTGAAATTATTCAGTTATTCTTGACTAATGAATAAAGAATAATGGTTGAAAATAATGAATGATTTATCCTTTATTCAAAATATTTCTGACTAATGAATAAATCTTTATTCATTATTCTGAATGACAAATGCCCATCTCTGATTGATATATATATATATATCTATATATATATATATTAATTTTTTTTAACAGATTATGAGTGTGTTATGTTTTTTTATGGAAAAATTAAAAAGAGATTTGTTTTGATTGTTAAAAAGTGTTTGGAAATTAGATTTTTAATAAATCTGTTGTTTATGTTTTGAAATAATGATAAAAGACTTGCTTGCTTTAAAAAAAATTAGAAAAATTGATTTTTTTTTATGTTTACTGATCTAAAAAATTTATTCTTCATTTGATACCTAACAGGGAAATGTTATCTTTGTGTTCATAATTTGTTGGGATTGTTAGGCTTGAATTAAAGCAACTATGGTTTTATTTATTTCATAATTAGTTAGTAATAATTATAGTAATTTTAACTATTTTAAAAGAATCTGATTTAAATCAAAAAATCCTTTTTTTTGTCAACTTTGTTGCCTGGGCTTGGTCAGAATAACTTTTTTGAAGGAGTTTCGCTCTCTCTTTTTCTTAAGAACTGTGATGAAAGCATCTCATTAATTAGTCCGACCAGTTCAACGAGTCTAAAGCGTAAAAAAAGTCTCAATCAAAGCATTTTTATTAAATCTAAAAGTATTGTACAAAAAAAAAACAGTTTTTATTAGTTACACTTTTAAATTATTAATTTATAGTGGAAATAAAATTAGGCACAAAAGGAATTTACTTTTTTTCCATTACAGTTTTTAGAATCAATGCAATTAAAATATTTTGAAGAAGCTCAAAAGAAAAACCTCTACATAATTGGGTCATGTGGTTTTGACAGCATACCTTCTGATTTTGGTATAGAGTATGTGAGAAAGAAATTTGATGGTAATACTCTCACTTTTTCTTTTATCTGCCTATGACAGTCTAATAAGATGTTAAATCCTTTGAATTAATTTGTTATTTTTTCATTCTAATGAGTTTTTTTTTATGAAAGAATCAAAAAATATTATAATAACAAATGCAGTTTTCTTCTGGACTTGTTGAAATCTTGTTTTAATTGTCTGCAAGTGTTTTTTGTCCGCAACTCACAAACGAAATTGCTTTGGAAGGAGACATTCCATGAAGTTAACGTTTGTTAAAAGTTAATTATTGTCCTGATATTCCTGATAATAAATATTTTGTTTTTATTTATCCTGATTATTTTTTTCAATGCAACATTACTATAAAAATTTTCTACATATTGATCTCAGATTTTTATGAGTAGTTCAGTGCTCCAGTAATAAGACTATATTGGAAACTCTCAAAAATTTCTGTCTCGCAATAGACTGATCGTAAAGACACGCTTCCCTGTAGAACAAAGTCAAGCATCACTGGCTGTGGTCAGTAAGAGGGTGAGTGACCACTTTGATCAGCCTGCATAGGGACCAAGGGTGCACAGTATTGGTTCTTGTTAAGCTATTCTACTGTAAAGTGCTCGGCTTCACGCTCTTGTCGTCAGGCTACCAAAGCAAGGGATCCATTCCCTCTGGAAAGGATCAGAATTTCTATGGCATGTCTTTGGATCCCAGACCGTCTTCAATAGCCCATTGTGTACAGCTCTAGTTCGACATAAGTAAAGTCCCCTACTTACCTATTTAAAAATTCCTTAAAAAAAAGTTTTTTTGAAAATTAAAATATACTTCTTGATATGTCATTTTTTTGCTATAAAACTTGTCTTTATTGTACTAAAGTAGAACAAATATTCTTTTTTTATTGCTTGTTATTAGCCATATCTTGAAGGTAGTCAGGTTTTTGCTTACTGCTTCAAAAAATGTGATCCTGATTTTTCTTTTACCTACTAGAAAGCCCTGGATTGTGTGGAGTAAGATTTAAGATGTAATGTTTATGTGTAAAAAGTTTCTATAAACTTAAAAATGGATAATAATCAAGAAAATTTTCAGTGTATAGTACTGGTTGGTTGGCTCTAATGCCACTTGCTACACGGGCAAGCTTGCTTGGAGAAACCAAGCAAATTTAAGGCAGAGTGTGCATTTCTTGTTTTTCAGTGGCGCCATCTATGGCCAAGAATTTGACTTCTGCCACACCTTACATCCCATTACACCTTACCATTACACCTTACACCCGTTTATAGGGCGAACCCATTCATACATTCATTCACAGATCGTAATTTTGACCTGAATCAGAGAACGATCAATCTCCAATGCAGTACCCCGAGAGGTATTTATTTGCTATGGGAACATGGAGGACTTTTGCGACTCGACAGATTTAACGTGCATCAGTCACTTCACAGCACGGGGAGTCTTCGGCCGGCTGGGTTTGAGCCCACGAACTCTCAGACATAAGCCCAGCGCCCTACCGACCAGGCTATCCCGGCATGTATCCATGTGTATAGTTCTTATCCATTCAATAATTTATCACACACAAGAATATCTGAATGAAATTCTTTTATTTCAACTTTTATTAGTACATTTCATTTTCCACTGAAACCAAAATTAAGTAGTGCTTAAAAATTACCCTTTTATAAAAAATAAAAAAAAAGACTAACTAGTGTGGGAGCACTTTACATTTAATGCTTTTTACATTTGAATTAAAATTCCCATGTTTTTACTTGGTGCTACTATTAATTCACAGGATCAATCTAATAATGCCTCAAAATATTTTGGGAGCACTTTACATTTAATGCTTTTTACATTTGAATTAAAATTCCCATGTTTTTACTTGGTGCTACTATTAATTCACAGGATCAATCTAATAATGCCTCAAAATATTTTGGAATTCCATATACGTAATATGCTTTAAAGTATTTTTTTAAATATCGGCAGGCACTGAATTCTTTTTCTTTGCCTCTGAAGATGCTAGAATTGCTGATAATTTATTGTACTCGTTGGGCACCTGTGAACCTTATCACGGAGGCGAGCAGCATTATCTACGCCACACTGTCACAAACACCCGTTCATAGAGTGGCAGGGTGGCCACCCACCTGGAAAACCTGGAATTATCAGGGAATTTTTTATACTGGAAAAAAACCTGGGAAAGTCAGGGAAATTTGGATAAAAACCTGAAAAAATCAGGGAATTTCAAAGAAAAGCTGGAATTTTTCTTTTAATTTAAATTATGTTACCATCCATTATATCCACTTTTATTTAGACGTAAATTTAATTTAAAGAAGTTGAAATATCATCAACCCAGCAATACTTTTCTTGCATTAAAATTCTCTTTATCCCAGTTAAACTAGAATGCCATTTCAAACTCTTTTATGTTGGGAAATGAATGGAGAAATCTTTGACCTCATTGGAGATTATGGGACTATGTAGTATAAGATAGGCAAAAATGTAGAAGAAAGGATTAGGATATTTGCTTCTGTTCATAAAAGTAAAGTTTTTTTTTTTTTTTTTTTTTTTGTTTTTTTTNTTTTTTTTTTTTTTTTTTGAGTCTTCTTTTATTCTGTGGGCTGAATTCATTAATTGTTGAAGTTTGTTTCTCTGCTTGGGGGGTATTTTTTTTCTTTTAACAAAATTATTCAAAATGTTTTAGTATTTTTAACTTAATAAAATTCTCAAAAAAAAAAAATTGGTTATAATTTAGAGATTTTATCTTGCACTCTTTTTCTGAAAGCTTTTGTCCAATGAATTATTTTTCTCAGCAAAGTTTTGTTTTGTAAGATAGTTTTTCTAAGAATTTAATGTTCATTTTTTTCCAACACCATCGAATTGCCCAGGTGTAAAAACAAAACCAATTAACTTATCTAAACTAGGAAACCATGTTAGATTGGAATTCTTAATACATTCTAATTTCCATTAAGAAACTGGGAAAAAAAGAATAAAAGTTAAAGAATTGTATCTAGTTTTTTTTTTCTTTTCTATAGAATATGCAACAAGAAATTGACTATTTTTCGTTTACAAATACTGAATATGACTTAAAATACTGAATATGACTTAAAATAATAGTGTTAATTTGAAACAAACAACATTATTTAAACATTTGACTTATGATATTGGTTTAAAGAAAATTATTTCAATGAATTTTATAAAGAGCACTGTTTGTATAAAATACAGTATAAAATGGCTCTATATTGAAATATAAATAAATATAAGAATTTATTGGTTTCTGATCACCGAGAATTATTTTCTTTTGCTTAATAAAAATATATTAAACAGTGCTTATCCAAGGTTGTTTTGGATCATTGCTATTTGGTACATTTTGTGCAAAAACTATTTAACACTTAAAAAAAATTTTATTCATTAAAAGCGTTATTTCTGCAAGCTAAACACATTGTTTTCTCCACATCTATTCAAGATGATATATTTAAAAAATAAAATTTTAAATGAAATATTACACTATATTGACTAATACACTAATATTGACACTTTTCATGTACCTATACTGCACTTTAGCAGGGGAAAAAAAAAACACACTGACCTGGAAATTTTAAGAATTTTACTGGAAAACCTGGAAAAATCACGGAAATTTGAAACCTGATTTGAGTGGCCACCCTAAGTGGGCCGCTTTCACGCATCACACAACAGAGAGAGAAACATCCATGCCCTGAGTTGGAGTTGAACCCGCAACCATTGGCTTCGCAGTCAGGCACGCTGACTGTTCGGCCACCTGGCGTGATATAATGCACTTCTTTGCAATGCTTAAAAGTTTCAGAAAGAACTTTTGAGTTCTTTATTTTTCAGAGTGCTTTTCAATGCTGATACTAGGGCTTTCTTATTATCTTTGGCATCCTCCAAATTTTTCAGATTTGAAAACTATTAAGATTCTGCAAGAGGTTTATCGAAAGAGTATAGTGATTTTCAAAACTGAAAAATATGATAAAAGGATAAAATTTCAACCAAAGACAACATTAAAGAGCATTCCAGAAGAGAACATGAAAAGTTATGTTACATAAACTTTTCCAGATGGAGACAGATCGGATGTTATGTTAAAACAAGTAATAAATTAAATGGGAAATTCATAAAATATTTTCCGGATTCATGGGGGCTCAGGGGATAATATATAATAAAGCTCTCCTCTTAATAAGGTGATTAAATAACTCTTCTCCAAATAAGACTCCTCTTAATAAGGTTAGAATCCCAGCAATAGCCAGTCAATAGGAATTCTATTCCCTGCTCGCATCAACCACAATGCTGATGTAAAATATCTTGAGTGGTAGATGGATTCCTTGCCATTGGGCTAACTGTAGAAAGGTTTCCTCTCCGTGTAATATGAGTCAGTTCCATCAAATATGAGTCGGTTCCATCCAAAACAGTCCGTCAGAAAAGTTAGTTTATCCTATTACTTGGTCTAGAAGTTCTCTGGTCTTCTAGGTTGTCTTTAGAATTACAAGGCTACAAAGTTGAGCATTGTTAACTGTAAACTCAAAAATGGGTCAGCTGTTCAACATCTGTTATAAAATAAAATATCTTCAGAAGTTATATGATTATCCCAGCAAATCAATACTGGACCTTGTATTTAGAAGTACTCTTTATATTTTAAATAATGATTTTTCATTTGTAGGTGATGTATTGTCCGTAGAGACGTATCTCACAGAAAATAGAGAACCTGTTAAGTATTTTCCTTTTTTTTTTCTCATTTTGTGACCCTTCTAAGGAAATTTTTGTTTTTAACTTTTCTTTCTTTTTTTTCTTTTCTAGGGAAATTCTGTAAATTTTGCTACTTGGCAATCAGCTATCCATGGTTTACATCATGCCAATGAGTTAATACCACTCAGGAAGTTATTGAGCGAAAAACTATTTTCCAAGAAAATGCCAAATCCTGAATATAGCTTGAAAAAAAGGTGACTTATTTATCAATATATGTTCTGCTGTACAGTGGACAAAATAAGAAAAAAAGAACTTCCTAATATCTTATGGTATAGTAATTGGGTTCTGACCTTGAGCGTTCGCAGTTTAAACTTTAATATGCTAATTTGTTTGCTGAAAGGATAAATTAAGTTATGAAATCTGACTAAAATAATGTACTTTATCTGAATTAACATACTTTTTCCCCAACAGATTTGAATCCTCAAACAATGGGAAGGTAGGCAGCTACAAGCTGGAAACTATGATCAGAATAGTTTTGGTCAGGAGAGAGGTTGAAAGCTTGGATCTCTATCAATTTAACTACTTGCTTATTTTGTTAAATATCTTTAAGTAATTGAAGCAACTTGAAATTTTTTTGTACTTAATTATACAACTGGAGGAAAATTTGCTTTGTATGCAATTATTTTAAAATATGTGAGTTTTATAATTTTTGTTAATATTTATTAGATCTCTTAAATTTTTCCAGAGATAGTGTGAAACAAAAAAAATGCAGTCAACATTAAGAGGCCCAGACTTTCGATTCTTAGGAGCAGTACATATTGAAATCAAAAGTAATACATATAAAATAGGCATTAAAATCAGTAGGATCAATAGTAAAATCAGTGTAGTGTTGCAAAGGGACAACAACTTGAATAACTTTGATGATTGGATTTTCACATACTTAGACACAATTTTAATGGCTTAAGAAGCTTGCCTTAAATATGCTACTTAATCAGTAGAGACGATATTAAGTTACAAAATTGTTAACTGAAATGTGTTTTCTCTCAGACTAACGTGTCTTTCTTTTAATAGATTCAGATTCTTGACCCTCAAAATTTGGGTGGTAACCACAATCTAGCAAATATGGTCCCAATAGCTTAGAGAGGAGAACAGAGCAGATTATACTCCTTACTGTTAGTTTCTTGTTATCCGTATTTCACTATATCTCAAGAAATTTCTAAGGAAATTGATACATTTTTATACACAAAGATAAAACTCATTTATCCAAAGATAATTGCATGTAAAAATTTATTTTTTTGTAATTATCTACAAGGTCTGGCTATTAATTTCCAGGACTCATGGAATAACTCAGAAGAAAAAAAAGTTAAACACATAGCCATTTAATATTATTTGAAGTAATCCCCATTAGCCGTAATACACGTCTGTGCTCGGCTGTACAAATTTCGGAAAGAAGTTTTAAAGTCCTCTTTTGGAATGCTCTTTATTAGTGACGTTACAGTTTTCGTGAAGGCTTCGACATCCTGAAATCTTGTTTCCTTCAGTGAATTTTTCTGCTTAAGAAACAGGAAAAAGTGTGTGCTAGGTCTGGCGAGTATGGTGGATGCTGCGACTCAACGACACCATGCTGAGCTAAGAATCGCCTCACAGGCAAACGCAATGTGTGGACGCGAACTTTTTCAATTGCTTCCGGCTTGCGTGCGAACTGCGGCCGAACTGTGTGCGGATCATCTTCCACGCTTTCGCGTTCAAAAGCGTTTAAACCATTCAAAAGTTCTTGAGCGAGATAATGCTTCCTTGCCATAAACTTGTTTTAACAATTTGTAGGTTTCTGCAGCTGTCTTGCCCAATTTGAAGCAAAATTTAATGTTAATTCTTTGCTCCATTTCACTTCGACAACAGGAATTTAAGAGCTCCGTTTTAATGCGCCTTTCCACGAGAACCACTCACTTCAGAATGGCGCCGATTGCACTGCACATGCGCAAGAAAACACTCTTCAATATGCAATCATTAGCGCCATCTTCCGGCTTTTCTTTCTCCTACAGTTACGTCAGTCCTGGAAATTAATAGCCGGACCTTGTATTAATATAACTCGTTAAAAAAAAATAGATGTTGTTGCTGTTGCCTAAACTGGCATACGTCAACAACAACAACATCTATTATTTTTTAACGAGTTATATATTTTTAACGAGTTAACCAAAAAAATTTTAATTGTAAGGTATAAAATTTTCTTGCAATTTTATAGTATGCAATTTTAAATACAATACAGATTTGATAGAAATTAGTCGAATAGTTCTCCTGTCAACCAATTTTCAAAATGTATGACTCTTTAAAATTGAATGACTCAAATACTATTCAATCAATTTTGTATTTTGTTACATAAAATTAGTTACTTTCGAATGATGTAACAATTTGTATACATTACAATTCCAAATTTTTTCAGCTTTTATTAAATAATCAATAAATATGAAAAAAATAATTTTGAAATAGAATTATCTTTCGATAAACGAGTTTTACAATTGTGTGCGAAAATCTTTTGATTCATTTAAAGAGTTCTTGAGATGTAACAAAATACAACAAAAAGGTGAAATTAACATTAAGAGCTACCAAACACTACTCTCCTGCCTAAACTATTGGAATCATATCTTTTAGATTTTATTTGATTTTATAACCGTCAATGAACGGCCGACCTTATTTTTATTCACGACTACTAACGTTCAATTCTGTAATCTTATAATTTTGAACCCAATCCCGAAGAAAAGGGAACTCCTGGATCAAGTATTGGGAAAAATTTGCCTTTGCGCAGGACTTTTTGATGGAGTTAACTTGCGTTTGTGTTATATGGAGAGAAAAACCACGAAAGCCTCGCATGTTAAGCCTGGCAGCAAGAGATTTCCAACCCATGATCCATCTACCACTGAGGATCTTTTGCCTCAGCGTTGTGGTCGGTGCGATCCCATTGCGGAATTCAAATCGACCAGTCATCGCTGGGATTTGAACCTGGTTCCACCTCCTTCAAAGGCAAAAATTCTCTATATTTTTTTTAGATTGTAACTACCTTCCCTTGTTTGAGGGTCAATAAACCTAATTTGTCAAAAAAGGCATGTTTGTTCAGACAAAGTTTGTTTTTGTGCCTTATTTTCTATTGTAAAATATTACCTGCACTAATGAACTAGCATGTGTAAAGTTAGCTTCTCAAATTATTAACATTAAATCTAGCATGTGAAAATCTGATCTTTAGATCAAACCTTTTTCAGAATGCTCTCTTTTTGTTATATTTATATATTAAAATAAAAATGTATTATAATGTATACACGAATGGTTTTGTTTAATTCACAAATAAGATGTTTTTAGGTTTTATCTCTTTAAAAGTGAGGATGTTAATGGATGGTGCATACCTTTTATCGGCAGTGATAGATCTGTTGTGTTAAGAACTCAGATGTATAACTTTCAATTCAAAAATGAAAGACCAGTAAGTTCAATTTTTTTATTGCTAAATTTGTGTCACCATTAAGTAAAGACGCATTCTGTATGTATTTTCTTTCTTAACTCTCTGGCGTAATTTAAAAATTTCTATCCAATTGGTAATTATTTTCCTGGTTTAACAATAAACAAACCTTGCACTGTAGACATTAATTTAGACATGAAATTTTAAATTTTCAGTTAGTAATCAGTGGCTGGTAGACTTTTAAAAACTTAGTAGCCTTTAGTAGGTCCTTTTCATTAAAAAGCCACTTTTTGGAAACTTTTTTTTACTTGGATTAAATTATATTTTCTTAAAAATTCCTATTAAAAATAATATTTGACTATAAAAAGTTTATTCAACAAAAATAATATAAATATGTTATGAAATTTAGTAAAGCACATTGTCTTTGAAGAACTTTATTTAAAAATGTTTGGGGAGGCAAAATATTTTCATGTATGCTTTACAATTTTGAGTATGTGAATTGTTGAGGAACTCTCTCTCCACATAAAAAAAGAAGAAAAAGCGATGGATTTATTGTGACTGGTTTATTTAAATGTGACTGGGTTATAAATGTGACTGGTTTATTTAAAAGTCGCTACTTTTTTTGTTGACTTGTCATGTGTCTAGTGGTTGTTTTCAGGTCTATATTAATTTGATTCTTGTGCTCTTCCTGACATGGTCTGATCTCTATGGATATCTTGCGTGACTCTTAATTTGGTTGTGTATGCAGGCCATTGCTTAAAAAAAATGCTAGCTTTAAAAATTGACTTAAACCAATGATGTAACAAAGGCCTCTACTGGCAGTGAAAATGTGATTATTTATTTTGAAAATGAAAGGGTCACTACTATTGCTACTATTTCTTAAAAAAAAATAGCTAAAATGCTACTAATTTTGAAAAAAATACTGTTGACATTAGATGGGTCGCGTTAAAACTTATAAGGTATGAAAATAATGGAATTCAAGAAACCATATGGAAAAGTGTTTAACTGCTGAAGAAGATGTGAGTTTACAATGCAATCGCCCCAAACCAAATGCAAGAAAAGTGATGTTTCAAATTCAGAATTACACATAGCAATTACATATTACATTTATCAAAATTTTGAAATTCATGGAAATGACTCAAAATAGGATTTAAAAAAACACACGGGTTTACAATAGAACCAGTAGGGAATCAAGCACATTAGAAAGTGTTTACTCTAATTCAAAAAAATGTGTCCTATTATAATATTTAAAATCATAATTAAATTGTTGGTGGAAATGATCAAAAAATTCCCTCCCCCCAAAAAAACTATTGAAAAATTATTTAGATACATGATAAATATTTGAACTAATCCTCACTAATAAATGACAAGGTGCGTAGCGTTTTTAAGGGGTGCTTAAAGGTGCTTATTTCGATTTTCGTTTTTTAAAAGCCCTTAAAGGTGCTTTTTTCCAAGGGTGTTTTTAAAAAGTGCTTAATTTTCCCTTTTCCAAAATGTGATATTTTGCTTTACCGTGTTAATTTTTGCCACAAATTATGCAAAAAAAACATTGTCCTATTCAACATTTTCGCAATTCCGGCGTACCGCCTTTTAGTGTACGAAAACAACATTTGTTTTAAATGTTTTATGAAATACTTGCGGGTCTGCACTTGTGTATACTGAGCTGTTCAGTGGTAGGGATTTTTGACTCTCATGTGCAACCCTGCTGCATTTTGCGAGAGATTCTCAATTTTAGACTTCATTTTCCGCCCTCTGTAATAAAATCGAAAAATCTCTCAAATTTTTGCTGATTACGGGGACCAACTACACATTGTCAATTTTTTTCTCTATTAGTGATAGAAAATTTCATTTCTCTTGTTAATTTCATCGTTTGTGATGCCCCATCGTCTTTGTTACTGTAAATAAAACCTAATAAAACCATCAAATGTCAAGAACTTGCCAACCCTGTCTAATTATGATTTCAAAGTGCTTAAAAATATTTTTTGAGTGCTTGAAAAGTGCTTATTTTTTGTTGAAAACTTTGGCTACTCACCCTGAATTAAAATTTATGCATTCATTTTGCTTAAATAACCCATTTGTTTTTCGCACAAGCATTGTTTTAAATTTAAAAAAAAAAATTTATTAATACAACTCCGCACAAAGAAATTGGTTATTTTTTAAAATGCCCATGGTATTTGATGCAAAATTTATAAGATACCTAGAAGGAAGTGTAGAAGATGGAATTGTTCATTCAAAAGATGGTTAGAAAAAATTAATTGTTTATTTTGGTTCTGAGTTTGCAGTACTCTAGGCTATGTAATATTTCTGTGTAGAGGTCCAGTAAGTTGGTATTCAAGGGAACAATCTATAGTTGCTACATTAAGAAGCTGAATATATTGCAACTCTAGAATAAGAACAACAACTGTATAATAAGAACAATAAGAGGCTGAATATATTACAACTGTAGAATGTTGATGAGAATTAGTCTCCATTAAAGCTCCAGTGAAAGAAATGCCAAGAAACTAAATTTCTTCAACTTTAAAGATAGATGAACAAAGTGATAAGTTTGGAAAAGAAATTGTGGTGTGAACAAACAAACAAAGTTAACATACAGATGTGCAATTTTATTTGATAAAAAAAAGTTGATAAATGTAAAATATTGTCCTACTGATAAACAAATTGCTGACTTGCTTTACTGAAATCCAGGGATCAAATAAGTCTGATGAATGTAAATGTGAATTTATAAAATTAGTTTTTTCTTTATTTAAAAATCCTACGAAGAACTATTTAGTTAAAAAAATCAAAATAGAATATTAATAATTTAGGAAGTATGTTGTATATATAATTTTTAATGTGTTATTAATTTAAAAAATACACGAGTGGCTACGTCTGTGTAATATCTTAAAAACAAATGTTGTCCTAATGTTGTAAAAAATCAAAGTAAAATCGGTTTCAACTTAAAAAATCAAAATCTATTCTACACATGTTTTTATTTTTATCTGAATGCGTTGTGTTTTATTAAATATTTTGCACATGCATAGGGTTGTTAGTCAGCGAGCTTTTTATTCTAAATATAGCTTGGAATGCCTGTTTAAGATAGTGGATGCTGCTCCAAATGAGTATTTAAGAAAATGGACACTGCTGCAAATACGTTTTTGATACGTAGTTGCAAATACATAAAATTTCACTTATGAAATTTTTTTCTTTTTTGCGGAGAATAAAATAATGGATCATAATAAATTCCTAATTGTGGTGTCTTCCATTTGCTTTAATCACATTTTTGAAAAAATTATTACATAAAAGCCATCAGCTCTTTTTAAGAGGTTGATACGGTTCCTATAAATTTATTATAATGGCATTAATATAGAATTTTTAAAACCAATTAATTGTTTAGTATTCAAAACACCAAGAGATATCTGTAATTAATAGAACCAGCCACTTTGACCCCGAAGTCCAGGAATTTACCCCATAATGATTATGTTTAGTATTTTAAGAAGTAAATATGAAACTTCTCATTTAGTTATTAAACTTGAGTTGAACTTTGAAATGGCGCAATTTTGCTGTGTTCATTTTCTTAAAGACTGGTTTTGAGCTATGCCTAGATTAGAAAGCTTACCAATGATTGTTATTCACAATAATTAGTATCATTGAGCCATGACGGCTTAAGGGATAGAGCATTCGCCTTCCTAATGAGGTGAACTGGGTTTGAATCCCAGTGATGGCTGGTCGATACGAATTCCGCAACTGGCTTGCATCGATCACAGTGCTGGCGTAAAATATGTTCAGTGGTAGACGAATCATGGGTCAGAGGCCCCTTTCTGTCTGGCTAACCATAGGAGGTTTTTGTGGTTTTCCCCTCTATGTGTTGCAAGTGCGGGTTAGTTCCATCAAAGAGTCCTCCACGAAGGCAAATTGCTCCCAATACTTGATCCAGGAGTTTCCTTGTCTTCTGGATTGGGTTCAAAATAACAAGGCTACGGAGTCTAACATCAGTTGTCGTAAACCAAAAAAATTGGGTCAGCTGTTCGAGGACAATTATAAAATAAAATATAAAATGAGTATCATTTTATTTGTATTATTCATTTGCCAGATGATTAAATAAAGTAGAAAAAAAGACTTAATTTATNATGACAAGGCTACGGAGTCGAACATCAGTTGTCATAAACCAAAAAAATTGGGTCAGCTGTCCGAGGACAATTATAAAATAAAATATAAAATGAGTATCATTTTATTTGTATTATTCATTTGCCAGATGATTAAATAAAGTAGAAAAAAAGACTTAATTTATTAATGGAAAAACTATTTAAACAGCTTTCAAAAGTAATAAGTATTATTTTATTTTTCAATTAGGTTCAAGTTCAGTGCTACATGAAGTGTCATTCCTTATTGTATGCACTCATCACATTATTAATGGGTGCAATTTTTATGCTCATGACTAAATTCTCTATGGGATGTTATTTGCTGGAAAGGGTTGAGTATTCCTTTTTTATTTAATGCATACACATGGAAACACAGAGATGCAAAGATAAGCCGTTTTGACCCATAAGGGAGAGTAACAAGTTAAACAATCAAAAGAAGGGAGAAAAGATTAAAAAATGATTCATTTCATATTTTGAAAAATTTTAATAACGGCCTTTTTAGCTCTCCATTTTTTCTTTATATTTTGGAATTTTTTTTTTTAATTTATGCATATTGTAACACTTTGAAATTTTATCTTATCTCCACCACACTTTTCTAACTGGTTGATTATCTTGTTTAAACTTGTTTTACGTCCCCGATCAGTTATGTTTTACGTCCCCTATTTTCCTTGTCACTTGCTTGTAGTTTACTTCTGTTTCTCTGTGTTTCCCTATTTCATTCACTGTTTTAGAGTTTGTAGTTGTCCTGATATTTCTGAATTTTGTGCCTTTAGAACATCCCATTTCCAATTAATATAAATGTGGATTTTAAAATTTGAAGTATTGAAAGATTTGCAGTTTAAAGCTGACATCTTCGTATTTTAATTGACTATGGTTAGGGCCAGAGGCGTATCTAGAGAAAATGGCGCCTATGGCAAACCTCCCTATCGGCGCCCCTTCTTAAAATATTTTATATATATGTATATANTTGTCAAGGGGAAAAAGTCCCGAAATTCGCGGGAAATTTTGAAAATTACGCAGATTCTAAACATAAAAAATTTAATATATAAATGATGCAAAAGACTGAAATTGCGCAAATAATAAAAAAAAAGCTTAAAAAATAAACAAAAAGTATTTCTTTTAATTCAAGCAATATTAATATTTTTAGTTAAATTACTTACTAATCTCTAAAGGAAAACATATTTTAGTAGCTTAACCTTTAAATCAATCGATCATATTTCATTCCATTTGAGTTCCTCATTTCAACAAAAATCAATAAATATACATAATACATTTATACTCACAATCAGAACTTGTTAGGTGAAATCAAAATAAAACTGATATATAGGTGATATGTTATAGATGATTGAACTGATATAGATGATTCTCACACTCACCTGATGAACAAACTAAGTGTTAATGCTGTTCTAATTTGGAATATAGAAAACAAACCAAGCAACTTGCATGGCAATAATAAGGAATAACAAACATAAAACATTGTTCCTATGTTGTTGACTGTCATTCAAAACTCCGTATGAGACGTATGTCTGAACCAATTTTTTCTTTTAATATTTCATCTCAAATACCTTCACTTTTACTCTTACTTTTTGAATCCAGCTTTTAGGGTCATTCTTTATCTACTGGCTGATGCTACGACTGCTAGCACAGGATTCCCATGGTCCTTAAAAACTGCTTAATTTTTATTTTGGAAAATAAGGGCCCTTAAAAGTACTTAATTTTGGTTAAAGGTTTTTAAAAGTTCTTAATTTTTTAACATCACTGTGGTTGATCGGAACAATTTTTCATTTCAATTTTTTACAACAAAATGTCCTTCTTTTATCACTTAGAATGCATCGAGGGTGAAGCATGGTCTAATTCTATTTTAGAGAAACAAAAATTAATGTGTGTGTCTGGGGGGGGGTCTACAAGCAAGGGGAAGAAAGCATGTCCTTTCATTAATATATTCTACCCTTTGCCTAGAATGATACTCTATGAGAAGAGTGAAGCATTCTGAAAGAAAAGAATAGTGTCGACAAGGCAAATACTGGCATGGAAGAGTTAGTGCTTTTTTTGGAGGGGGCAGTTTTAATGTACCTAAGTAGAAGACCCCCACTAACTTTCAAAATTGACAGAATTCAATAAATTGAGTTCTACTGTTAACACATCTGCTTATAGGAATTAAGTAAAACGCTAAGAAACGAAACATCAGAAAACATTTTTGAACTAGAATCCATAACGAAAACTATTTCCTAAAATCTAGAAGAATTAAATAAATTTGTATGATATTTCAGTGTGTAATAAGTAACTGTAAATTTATTGAAGGCATAACATTTTTGAAAATTCATGATTGTACTAAAACTTAAACAGATTTGTAAAGAACAGGATTTGAAAAATCCCAGCCCACCTAGGTTTTTCATCAAAAACCTGGGGTTTATTGGGTTTTTGATGAAATAATTTTTTTTCCCTGAGTACTAAATAAGAAAGCGTGATTTGCTTCTAACAAGAAAGTTAAACATTTGGTACCTATTTATAATTTGTTTTGTTGCAATGTAAAATATTTTTTAAAGTTTTAGATTGTTACGCTATTTTTATTTCTGAGGAATAAGCAGATTGCTACATAAAATCTATTCAATTAAAAGATCCTTAGATTTTAATAATCATTTTATTCACTTAACATTGCAACTTAATATACTGTTTTTAATTTTTGTTCAATTCTCATTTGCGTTTTGCCAAAATGTTTAGTTACATTATGTAAAGTTTATTCCTAATAACAGGTTTGGCTGAAATGATTTTTCTAAAGTTTGTCATAAAATTAAATATAACACATTTTCTGGTCTAGTAGCAAAATATAAAAACTTGTTGAAATAATTTTTTTCAATGTTTTTGACAAATTTCTTTATTTACTCTTTTTTTTTAATGTACATGAAAAAAATTGCGAATCTTAATTTCTGCACTTAATTACAATTACAATTTTACTATTCAATTTCAATGAAATCATTAAAAGTGGAATGCAGATTAGTTTCTTACGTTAACTTTTACAGTCTGAATGACGTTAACTTTTAACAATCTGAAATTTTTTTTTTTTTTTTTTTTTTTTTTTAAAAAAAACCTGATCCGGATTTGCGAAAATTGCCTGATAATTCTTTGGCGAGCCCTGTTAATTAATACAATTATATCAGTACTGTTATTTTAATAAAATTGTTTTTATTTTTTTGGGAAGGTAAATGATTTGCACTGTCACTGGTGGCATATGTATATTCGATGATAAACAATCATTTTTAAAGTCCTTAATTTTTCAAAAAAGTACATAATTTTTGCTTTGTTGAAAGAATGGGAACCCTGTAATATGTTGAGATTTTATCAACATTTTCGATGACAAGCCTACCTGTGCATCCGCAACATAAAAAAATCTAAATGGAATTGACCAAACCAAAATCGCATGTGATTGGCTGTTACAGTATTGGGACTATAAGTACCATTCACAACGTCTGTCGTCTGGCTTGCATTCTCACTTTTATTAAAGAAAAATTTTGAGATACACTGAATTTTCTCTTTGTTGACTTCCATTTTCGACACTCTGTAACTCACAACTGAATGGACCAAACAAAAAACAGCAAAATAATTTATTTAGTGCAAAATGACACCTTTCCAACGAGCATAAATCTGAAAATTTTTTGATTGATACTTTACAAGATATCAATCACTGCAGCCATCTACCGAAAAAATAATGGATTTCTTTTTACCACCTAAATATATGTCTCCTACATATACTTATTTCCTGCTGAAATTTCAGATATCTTTTTTAAAGCTACAATTATCCCTGTAAATGTTGATAATTATTTTTTATTTTTCAGTTTTTTTAAATATTTTGTGATAAAATCATTAAATATCAGTTGAAATAATATTCGTTTATTTAAAAGATGTAAAGATATTTTTGCTTAATTTGTAGATAAGCACATACTTATCTAACATTATTTATTTTAGTGCAATCTCAATCTTTGATTCAAAACTTATTAATTTTGAACTTTCCAAATGTACTTTCTCTCTTGTATATACATCTGAAAATTAATGAATTGCAATCATTTAATATCTAATAGTTGAATTTATCTACCAAATATAAAACTGTGTGTAATTGGATCAATTGTACCTGAAGCTAGTCCTTTGAGAAAACATAATATTTTTACTGAGATAAATCAATTATTTTACCTCAAATAAAATGCTATTTCTGCTATGACATTTTCTGTCTTGCTGTATCATCTCTGTAGAAAGCAACAGTTCTCTTTACCGATCCAACACATTATTTTCGCTCATACTTCATTTGCATTCTTTTATGAAATATGCTTATTTTGGTCCCATTTTCACAGTTTTAATGCGCAAAGTGGAACCACCTTGTATATACCTTTTGGTTAAAAATTGATTTTAAATGTTTTATATATCATTGAATCATTTCCATGTAAAAATAATTTTGAATTCTTTTTAGTTTCCAGAAGTTTTTTCTCTTGGCACGTTTAGCAGAAATCCAAGTAAAAACCGGGTTTGTATTGTATGCCTTCTAATTCTATTACTACTTAGAGTTCTAATCATGCTGTTAAAAATAGTTTTGTTAAATCATGTCTTATTAAAATAATAATAAAACAATTAGGACAAGAGAAAAAATTCAAATTATAAAAACTATTTGAAAGTACAAAAAATTGTCATAGTATTGTTTCAGTTCTATAAGCAAGAACCTTCCTCAGTGTCTAAATGTAGAATGAAGAATTTACAAAACACATGTAAAGTGGGTCAACCAATAGGGACAAAGTAAGTTTGAAGAAGGAAATAACAGTGGGGAGATAAGAAACTGGTGTGAGTGGGATTTGGCGGCAACCCCAGGGTGGACTTCCAAAAACTTGGAAACACTGAGTTGTGTTCTCAGCTATCCTCAAAAAGATTCAGTTCAATATTTGATTGCTTGTACTGTTTAATTAAATTCTAGACAGTACACCAATAATCTTAGTATAATTGCTTTTTCTTAATTAAAATTTTTGAAGTCTAACTCTGACACTGTTATTACTAAAACTGATAAAGGGGGTCAAATTGTAGTTCGAGACAGAGTTAAAAAAGTTAATTGATGAAGGTCCTTATAGATTGCTACCTAAAGATTCAAGTGTTAATAAGTTGCATAAAATAAAATTTGCCGTTGAATTTTCAGTAATTATTCCTAATCATCTAATCTTCAGTAATTATTCCTAATCTATTCTCTTACACCTACTAATTTACACTGTGAGATTTTATGCTTTTCTTAAAGTTCATAAGGTTGGCACTCCTTTTAGAGACTAATTGTTTCTAATATTGGCACTGCCTCTTATAAATTAGCTTTTTCAATTTTGTCCCCACTTTTTGGTATGTCAGAAACTCATACGATTTTGTTAATGAGCTTCAAACGTAACGATAACAAAATGGTCTCTTTTGATGTAAAATCTTTATTCACTAACGTTCCTGTTAATAGTGACCTTAATTGCCTTAAAATAAGATAACAAGAATTCTACTTACGCGAAGTTGAAAAATTAGTAAATCTTACTCGCATTGGTTTAGAACAGCCCAATTTCTCTTTTTAATGGTAAATTTTATCGGATGATTTATGGCTTATCTATGGGTAATCCTCTTAGACCCTTTTTTAAATGACCTGTTTATGCACTATTTTGAAGAGAAATTCTTTGATTTATTAAAGCTCCTTTTTTATAGATGATATGTCGACGATTGTTTTGCATTGATGAAGAATGAATGCTGACATAGATCATGTTCTCAATGCTATGATTTCTATAGGTCCTTACGTGCATATTATACAGATTTTTTTCATACTTATTAACAGGAAACATGCATACTTATTCTCTGTAATAACTGTTTACCTTTCTTAGACATTCTTATTGCTCGTAATTCCAATAAATTTCTCACTATTGTTTATCAAAATCCATTTACGGTTTCACTCTTCCTTCATAATCTCTCATCTGATCCCTCCAACCAAAAGTTAGCTGCCTTAGGCACACTTGACGTGCTTCTAAAATTTTTTTCAAATAGTTACCTCCTCAATGAAGAGCTGTTTTTTGTCGAAGCTATCACTGTAGACCATGGTTTTTCTTCTAATATTATTGATTCCACTAATAGAAAATTAACCTCTCAATCCATCAAACTCTCCAAATCGAACTTTAATTGTTTGACTGTTTTACCTTATTATCCGAAAACCAGTATTCAAATCTCTAAGATTTTTAATAAATTTTAGTTTAAAGTCATTTTTTCCCCTGTAGAACTAAATTTCACCAATTTTAAAAACCCTATTGCTGGTATTAATAGCTGAGGTATTTATTAAATTTTGTCCCACTGTGGTCTTGCGTATATTGAACAAAAATGTAACCTTTAACTTAAAGAACATTAAAGATACATCCGAAATAAAGACATTAACCGATCTTCTATCACTCTACACAATTGGAATTCAAATCACAGGTTTGATTTTTTTTACTATTAAAATTATTCAGCACAATACTGCACTTTACCTTCTGAACTTGTAAAATTCAAGTCTTCCCCCCTTTCCCAAAATTTGGAACTCTATTTTAATTTAATCTGTTGCACCCTGGGCTCCTGAAAAATTGCTTCAAACCTGTTTCTTATCTCCCCATTGTTATTTACTTGCTCCTTTGTCCCTATTGGTTAAAATACTTTCGTGTAACTAAACGTGTTCTTCTTTTTTTTTTACTTCTCTTCCTTCATTTAACATTTAGACACTGAGGAAGGCTCTTGTTTATAGAACTGAAACTATAGTGTGTCAATTTTATGTACTTGTGCTTTATACATGTGGATTTTTGCTTTAGTCTACATAGCACAAAGTATTACCCTTTCCTTTGTTTGTGATGAAAACTATTTCTTAGAAAAAAAAATTTCATAAAAAAAGTTGTTTTGACCTTTTAGAAAATGTTATTCTTTGCTGATTCAGTGATAAGCTGTTTCACTAATGATAGTGTGGAAGGGGACAAAATTCTTGCTATATTTTACTTAAATATTGTGTATCACATATTGTAGTAGGTGTTCAAAAATATTTGTTTCAAATCCAGTTATTCATTTGTACTTATCTTGTCTTATAACGAAAATTGTTCTTATAAATTCTTCATAGAATGTGGGTGGAAGCTTCAGTGTGACGATCAAAGCCAAAGGATGGAGGGAAAAGCTGCCTGACAAGCATACTTCACCCCCAAACAAGACAGTTACTGCTGTTTTAAGTAGTCCAGGTGATTACTTATTTTCTATTCTTTGAAAATCAATTACAGGTCATGAAGCTGTAGAATGTTACAAATATCTCAACTTTAATTACCAGTTTTTCTGGTTAGCTTACTATTGAGTAGCTTAACAAAACAAGAGTTCGGCTTTTGAAAGTTATTCGCTTTTAAATAACTTACATTAAGGATGGATAAATACCCGCTTCCAGGCTAAATGCCGCTGACCAAGACTGTTAGAAAAATACAATTTGAAAAAGGGTGGGATGAAGTGTTAATGACATTTACTCACATGGTGAAAATAAAAACTAGATAAAAACTAAACTAAATAAAAACTATTAATTAACTAAACTAAATATAAACTAACTAAATAAAAACTATTTAAAATAAAATCATATTTTTGAGAATTTTGCAGATCTTTTTATTATTGTTTTCATTTATTACATATATAAAAAAAATATTTACTGAAAAAACTAAACTAAATAAAAACTATTTAAAATAAAATCATATTTTTGAGAATTTTGCGGATCTTTTTATTATTGTTTTCATTTATTACATATATAAAAAAAGTATTTACTGAATTCTTATAAAAATTGGTTGAAAAATAAACTTTTGAGTTCAGTACTATTGCTTCTCTTGATTGAAGATAAACAAATTTAAAATTAGGACAGGTTGTGCTGAAAATTAGAAAAGTGCGATTATTTATCTCATTAAGCCGATTCCATTAAATAAGCTATAAATGGTTAACTTATAAATCGTTTGCATCTAATTTATTTTTATATTACAATTAAAATATCTTTTCTGAAATGCAAAATTAACTATTGAATGCAATCATTTTAAAATATGGATCATTTATTATAAATCATTTCTTCCTCAAAGTCGCCCAAACAGCTGCCACCCCTCACTTAAGTAAAGCTTTTTATTGGCACAAATAAAAGAATTATCTGTCTGAACTAAATCTCAATTCTTCTTTTCCATGATAAATTTGCATGTGTACAGTAACTCAAAGTCTCTTAAAATTAAATTTAGTGCTCATACTTTTTAGACAATATTTCATTACATGAATTTGATTATTCAGATAAACAACTTCATTCCGCTTAAATTTGGATACTATATGAGAATAACTGCAGAAAAAGAAATCTACATCAAAATGACGTGAATTGATAACTAAACAAACATGCCATGGATTGACAGTGAAACGGACATGCCATTAAGTGTATTCAAATGCATGATTTAAAACTTGCTATTTATATTTAAATTATCAGGATTTTATAAACCTAACAGAAATCAGTTACAATATCTGCCGAAAAATTGATTTAAAAAAAAAGTATGAAAGGACTACTTTAAAAAGTTAAGATTCAAATGCGTTATTCGAATTTCACATGTTGTAATAATAACTTATTAAAAATATTAGGATTATAAAAAATGACACATAAAAAATGCTAGAATTTAAAAATGAAACTGTTTTGAAAATCAATAGCTAGAAAAACAATCGAATCACCACTTGGATTTACCATGGAATCGGTGGGAGCAGCGAAAAGTGATTAATCCAATGTGCAATTTTAATTTTGCATGCTGTAATAACATCGTATGAAATAAATCAGCATTAATACCGAAAATTTGATTGTAAAAACCGTGATATTGCCGCATCAAAAAGCATTTGATGATTTCATGTTGTGTCAAATGTGCAATTCAAATTTTAAGTTTCATAGCAATATTGGGGGAAAAAACGAAAAATTCGTAAAAAAGTCTGCCAAAAAACGATCATGGATTTTCAATGGAATCAGTGAAAATTGAACGATTTGATTACTTAAATCAGCTTCAGTTTCCATGTTGTAATTATTATATTAAAAATATTAGTATTTTATCAGCTTAATTTTGTTTTGGCTTAATTGTTTTCTTTTTATAAATCTGCCTCAATCCCAAAAATATTTAACCTTATTAGAAAAAAAAGGCATTATATAAGGTTATTTGAACTTACTTTTCTCTTATACAGATTCTGGTTACATAGCCACAGCTATTTTGGTTGTAAATTCAGCTTTAGTGGTGCTTCAAGAAAAGGATAAATTGCCTCCAAGGTAATAATTTTAGTTGTTTATCTCATTAAAATGTTGGGGAGACTTTTTTACACTTATTATTAATATTATTTATTTATTTTATTGAAGAAAATGGGCAAATTTTTGTTTGTTTGTTTCAAGTATTATGAATAGAGAACTGAGTGTAAACAATAAAACCTGGGCAGAATTCAAAAAACTTACACTATTGCTTACGTTGTATTAATGAGACAGTGTATGAACAGGCTTGATATTTTAAGAAGTTTTATTATTAAGATTTGTATTAAAATTTGCCCATAATTTTACCATTCATTAGAATTTTCTGTGTTTTAAAAATTCTGAAATGCAGTGAACCAGAAATTAATTTAAGGAAATTAGTATCCCTACATAAAGTATAAGAGTTTCAATACTTAGAGTGTCATCTTCACTTTATATGTTAAGGTTTTAACGTATTTTGAATTTAAAAGGTAGTCATAAATCCAAAGTGGTGCTTTAAAAATACAAAAACTGAGGTATAATGTTACTATTTTATTGAATGTGAAATAGGGGCCAGGCCCTCAACAATGGTGTCTACATGATTTCTGCTAGGTTTAGAAGAAGCGTGATTTGACCTTGAAGAGGGTTTTTGTATCTTCCTGGACAATATATTTAAATATTAATAGATGCTAGTTATGTGGTTTCAGATGAGTTCCTATTTCACTAATTACCACATCATCACATTTTCTGAAATGATTAAATCAATATCATTACTTCTTTTGTGGGAAAGGTTTTAACTGATTGCATACTAGATATAAGCTCTCTTTAATGATTAGATTTAATATATAATTCTTTCAGCATTGCATAGTATTTGTATCCGCACGGATTTGCAGCGCCATCTAAAAAAACATGTAACATAGAGAGGGAGTGAGTGTGTGTGTGTGTGGAAGGAAAACCGTAAAGAGATACAAAAAGCTCTCTTCCAAATATTAATAAATACATATTGTGCAAACCTACAGTCCACTTCTTTCTGTTTATTGAGCGAGTACATATTTACCTGAGCGTCGACAGTATTCTCCTGCCCTTTTAAAAAAGGGTCTAACTAATGTGATAGCCAGCTAGTTTATTGGTGAAAACTTCTCCAATCACACAATCCAACTTAAAAATTTTAAACCCAGTATAATGTCCAAATTATACAGTAATAATAAAAAAATAGTTAAGTACTAAAATAACAATATAAATTTTTATTATAGAATGCCAGTTGTTAGGCCACTAGGTTTTCAGATCACAGGCTCTCTAACATAACTTTACATAAGTAGATGAAGGCAGAGCACATGTCCAAATGCAAAGCAGTTTTATCCTGGTCAATTATATAAAGAGAGAACATGTAGGAGAGTCAATAATGTTTAAAGAAAGTTTCAGTCTAAAAGCTGAAAAGCTAAAATACATTCATAGCCTAATTACTTTTTTCAAAAATACCCAAATCATTATTTATCTATACTCAAATATCTGTTTGAGGCAAGCATTTGGTTTCTGTTAAAACTTCTAAAATTCTAATTTCTACATGAGGTGTGGTTTAGAGAAGAGTACATTCCAATGTTTCCCTCAAAAGATGCAAAGTTGTTTCATGAAGAAGCCCTTGGAAATCAAATCCATTTCCAACTTTGCTGAATGGAATCCCAAACTCCCAGAAGATTTGAGGAACCAAAAATTTATTGTGTGGCAAGGTAGCCAGCCTTTATATTATCTGCAATGCCACAGTGTGTGGGAATCCACTGAAAGCACGCTTCATTACAGGAATTCCCATGCTAAAACCTGCACCTCAAGACACAAAATTCTTTGTCTCTTTATTAGAGGAAAGAGCCTGTAATGCAGAAATAGTCAAAAAAGATTAATTGCTCTTTGTAAAGAGTCATTGAATGTAAAGTTGTTTAATTGTTACAAGAACTGGCTGTTAACACTCCATCAAAATGATTCATGAAATTTCCAACTGGGAGATTAAAGCAAAACTTTTCACAAAAAATTCCACCTTCCTGCTAAAAGTCAGAAAATGAAATATCTGTATTGACATGTAACCAGTGATCAGAAGAAAAATGGTTGTGCTCGTAAGGCCTTAGACTGACTTTGTAATAACATAAATTACTATACTATAATAATTAGGGTTCGCGCCAGTAAAGCGACAATTGATCCAATGTTGTTAAAATCATAAGCATGAGCCACATTAAATATAACATGTAAAATTTAACTAATTCTAAATTAAAGCTATCTTCTTTAGTTTCTTTAAAAAAATACTTTAAATTAAATAAATTTCATATTATCCATCTCTTCAAAAAAGAAAAAAATTAAAGGAATACTGTATAAAATTCAAATTTATTGCCCAAAGAATATATATTATTTATAAAATACATATAAAAGAATTAAATTACTGGGAAAAATTAACATTTAATTACATCACTGTTTTTTATATTCAAGTTTGTTACACATACCAGTTAGGATTATAGGTGTACAGTGTTATAGGAAGTCTTAATCATTTTAAGTCTTATCTACAGAAAGCAAGATTATTTTTGTATTGGTGTTAATCATGATTGATTTTTTTCCCCTTCTCAATTAGTGGTGGCGTATTGACACCTGGAGCTGCTTTTTCCGATACAAGTCTAATGAAAAGAATTGAGAAAAGAAACATCACAATCAATGGTGTGTGAAATATTCCCAAAACAAAAATATTTTTGTACTCATTTTTCTTGAATATTGATTTCTTAATAAATAAAAACTGATAATTTATGATACGTAATTTTGTGTGTGTGCGAATAGAGTTACTTTGTAAAGTGTTTACGAAAAGACGTTTATACAATTTCCTACTATATTTAAGACTTCAGCAGGGTTCAGATTTTTTTGCGGATTTCTGTTTTTTTTTTTCAGATTTTTCTCGCTAATTGTCGCTGAATTTTTTTTTTGAACAAGTTAAAATATTTAATGACGAATTTAATTTTTCGCGGAGCGAAAGTATTGAAGTTTCTCTTAAAATCATCTGGGATAAAACTGGTTGACCTTTATACAGGGATGAGATTTTTTCGCTTTTGCCTCTCGAATTTCAGCCTTTTTCATCAAAAACTCAGATTCTCTAAAAGTTTCGTTTTTTTGTGTGCAAAATTCAGTCGTTGAAATAAAATAATTATATACATTTACGATTTTCAAAGATAAACAGAAAAATCAAACTACGCCCTAGCTGCTAACCCTTCCGTATTTTAGCTATTTTCTCCGTTTTTACGCACAGAAAATAAGATTTTCCGTATTTTTATTCGCCCGCCTGATAGCTCGTATTTTCGCAATTCAGACGAAAATAAAAAAAGAGGTGGATTTGCTGTGAAAATATTTATTTGCTCATTCACAATTAATCTTGTAATTTATTTTGTCTAAACAAAAACAAGCCTTTTAGAAATCCCAAGTCCAGACTGCAAAAATCTCGATTCTTATTCACGCGATTTTACTATCAAACATCGATTTTCGTATTTACCTGATTTAAAAGTTGAACGTTTCGATTCCTATTCAGGCGATTTAAATATCGTGCATTGCAATTCTTATTTACAAGATTTTAAAATCCAATATCGCGATTTATATTTACTCTTAAAACATTATGTAGCGATTCGTATTCACGCGAGCTTAAAATCCATTGTCGCAATTCATTTTAGCGGTTGTAATATCAAACAACGATTTTCGTATTAATACGTGCTGTAAAAATTAGACATTGTGATTTGTAATTACGCGATTGAAAAATTATGCATCGTGATTCATATTTTACGATATCTAAAAATTACTAATTGTATTTTTCCGTTAAATAAAAATTTTATTTTATTTTTTAAAATGCAATATAGAGTTTCATTATCGGGATTCATATTCATGCAATTTTAAAATTAATAATCGGGATTTATAATCACATGGTTTACAAATTTAAAAATCACACTTTTTTTGTCAAATTTTTGTATATATATATATATTCATTTTTGGATTTCCTCTTTTTTACTTTCTGTCCACTCTCATCCCTGCAGGTGTAACCTACTTCTTAAAGGATGCAGAAGAAACTAAAAATGATCTATATAATTAATAAATGAATAATTCAAACTTAAATGTATTACCTTTTTGTATGTTTTGAAGCCAATTTTTTAATCAAATTTATCTTTATCCTTCAGTTTCTTGGGATTATTTACTTAAACATGTTTACTATTTTAAAGTTAGTAAATAAGCTTATGCATACTATTTTAAACTTATTAAATATATTTATGTCTACCAATTTAAAAATCACAATTCTCAAAGCAACAAAAGGATCAAAACAGTAGATAAAAATTTAATAGTATAAATACATCAATATAGATAAAAATACAGACCAATGTACATTCATATATTTTTTATAATTTCACAAGGTACATAAAATAAACTATAAGTGTCGATTCTTGTTAAAAGATTACTGTAAATTATCATTATATCATATACTTGTATAATATGATTTTAATAAAATATGTCTAAATAAAAATTCATACATAATCATTAGCACAATAAAATTCAAATGTATTTTTGCATAGAAAAATGTATAGATTTCTTTACACACATGAAACGTTCAACTAGTTACAGAAAAAAAAAATTTTTTTCCAGTATAAAGATACCTGAGCAAAGATACTTCGAACTTACAGCACATTAATTACAGGTAAAATATAATAATAAAACAAAGTCTCAGAAAAAGTCTTCACAGTGAGAAGAACGAAAGAAATCATAGTTAAAACGAAATAATAGAAACTCACAATTCATCATGGATACTCAAAACCAGTAAAACCTGCTTAAAATTGTACAAAATGGCAGCTTCGTTATTAATCCAGTTCAATCTATCAAATTATTTATTATTCGTATTTTGTTCATCTAATTTTTTTAATATTGTGGTTTGAATAAGTTAACATATTTATTTATAAACGCGATATGTTGTGGTAATTTCTTTACTATTCTCTTTTCTGAAATAAAAAGATTAATTTACATATTAAAACTTGATATAGATTATATTTTATGCCATTGTCAAGTAAAATTTTAACCTATATAAATAATGGATACTAGAAACTACATTTGGCTGATACCTACACAATAAACTACAGCGCAAAGCAAGTTCATTCAAATTTTAAAGGTTAATTAACTTTTACCTCTTTAAGAAAAGTGTTTCAATTTGCAAAACTAAAATTCAATAGTTTCACACTCTTTTATATAAAATTCTAAAAAAGTATGAACTATTTTTTTAATCAGCTGTATTACTATATCAATTAACTACCAAACAAAACAAAAATGATGGTATTATATTTCGAGCAAGCCAACTAACAAATCTAAAGTGGCTCTGTAACGGGATGCGTAGCCAAATTTTTCAACAAAAAATAAGCAATTTTCAAGCACTCAAAAAATATTTTTAAGCACTTTGAAAAATATAATCAGACAGGGTTGGCAAGTTTTTGACAATTGATGGTTTTATTTACAGTGACGATGGCGTGTCACAAACGATGAAATTAACAAGAAAAATTAAATTTTCTATCGCTAATAGAGAAAGAATAGTTGGTCTCAGTTAACAGCAAAAATTCCGAGAAATTTTTTGATTCTGTTACAGAGGGCGGAAAATGAAGTCTGAAATTGAAAATCTCTTGCAAAATGCAGCAAGGTTGCACATGAGAGTCAAAAATCCTTACCACTGAATCAAGCTCAGTATACGCCAGTGATGACCCGCAAGTATTTCATCAAACATGTAAAACAAATGGTGTTTTCATACGCTAAAAAACGGCGGTAAGCCGTAATAGATTGGGTTTGAATTAATTGTGAAAACGTTGAATAGGACAATGTCTATTTGCATAATTTGTGGTGAAAATCCATATTGTAAAGAAAAATATCACATTTTGGAAAAGGAAAAATTAAGCACTTTTTAGAAAAACTCATGGAAAAAAGCACTTTTAAGGGCTTTCAAAAAACGAAAATCAAAAATAAGCACTTTTTAAAAACGCAACAAACCCGTGTAAAAAAAAAATTAAAAAATAAAACTATTTTGGAGGGAAAAAACTGCAAATGTTACTGTAATTGTGGTGCAAATTAATTTAAAACTAATGTAATTTTTTTAACACATAGTTGCTACTAGAAGAGAGGAAAAAATAAATAGTTGAAATCTAACAATCAAAACAAACATGGAAATATTTAATAAAATAATTGATACTCATAACTATGACAACCCCACTTTATTGGTGGCTTTTATCATCTTATTAGCAATCAGAAAGAAATTATGAATTGTATTAATAAAAATTGCAGGTTGGCCTTTGTTGATGAAAATACTAAATATTTTATTTGTAAAAAAAACATTACTTAAAATAAAGTTATTGCACAAAAATATGATATTTAAAAAAAAAAAAATTTATTTGATTAAAAAAAAGAATTCATTTAACTATTTGAGGCTTTCGAAAACGTTTTCAAAATATTTTAACCACTCTCTTAGCCTCTAAGCTCTGTTCATTATAAACAATAAATTTATAATTCTTTAATTTTAAATTTTGTAAATAGTTCAATACATTTATGCATATATGAAGAAAATATTTACTTTAGGATATTTCAGAAATATATTCCTACTGATGATAAAACAACAAAAAACATAGCGAGAGATATTCATCACTTTTATAATAATGAAATGACATGAGAGTATTGAATTTTATAAACACACACTGGGTAATAAATAAAAAGATTAGAGCATGTTCATCTAAAATATATGAAGATAATAACGCATCATTCAATGAGGGAATTGCTGTTTGTAGTGTTATCCTATAAGAAATTATAACATACATTTAAAATAAATAATAATTTATAACAAAATTTTATAAATAAAGTGTATAAAGGTTTCTTTATTATTTAGCAAACTGATCAAATGATTGTTCTCTACTTTGAATGTCGGAATGCATTCGTAATAAGGTTTTGCTGTGAAAGAAAGCCTAACTGATAACATTTTCTATGAAAATATATTTTTAGCAAAGGAAATCTTTGGAGAATTTTTTATAAAAATGATTATAAGTTAATGAAATTGGCAATTAAACATAAGAGTTTTTATACACAAGCAAAGTGTGAATAAATATGTATTAAAGAGTCGTTTTGCAACGAAGACTTCTGATAATTTTCAAAGTGTTTATAAAAAATGCACAGTGGGAATAGTAAAAGAGCAAGGGCCCATATATGGTAGGCACTACAAAGGGGTACTGAGGGAGTTAATTTAAGCATTTGCTTCTCCCTCAATTAGAAATGGTTTTGTTTTTATGGCTACCGGGGCCGGTACCCCCTGAAGACGTCGGCTTCGGTGGTCATATTTTCTTTTTCTTTATTGCTACTTTTTTCTGAAATTTCTGCTGCTTTTTAGAGAATTTTTTTCAAAGAAGTTTTTTCTATTTTGAATTAGAAATATTTGTGTTTTCTTTTAGTACTGGTTTTTTGTCTCTTTTTCCCTCTCTCCACTACTGTGGTTTTTCTAGTTCTGTTTTCTCACCTTCACTTTTCAATTTTTTGTTGGCAACTTTATGTTTTTATTTTAAACTACTTTTGTTACTTTGCATTCAGGTCTGGCAAGTCTTGGAAATTAGTGCCTATTTTTGAAGCGCTTGAGACATGTTGTTTCCAGTTTGCCTATCTTTTAAGCGAATGAAATATTAATCAGGTAATACAAATTCATTATCAGGGGTCTGTCCAGACATTTCGTGAAAGGTCCTGTTTTTGTAAGATTGCGAAAAAATTACTCGTAATTTGTGAATATAAAATAAACATTAAGTCACATCTTTCAACCAGGGTCCTGCTTTTGTGCAAGTAGGATCCTGTTATTGCAAAAAACTTTTTCAAGGAGTTTTTAAATTGTAAAGACAGATACAAGATTATGCTCTACACAGTAAAATTATCATTAAAAAAAATTACATTTTCAAAAATGAACAGCAATTGCTGCTACTAAATTAGAGATGCAACATACAAATATTTGGTATTTAGCCTATATTGCTGAAAGCAGAATATTAATTGTGGACGAATAAAAGAAGCGTCTGCTGAAAACGAAGCTTAGTCCGTTTACATCAGTCTTTCTCCCCCCCTCCCTTGGGAAGGGTTTATTCGATTAACAAAATAATAAAGATAAACAAATTTGTGAAGGGTCTGATTAAAAGATATATTATTCTGTGAAGGGTCCGCTAACGGACCCAAATTTCTTCTGAACAGACCCCCGATTATTTTCAGTCGAAAATACACAAGAAACATACAATTTCATTTAAATTAGGACAGCACAATCTGCAGCTCATAGGATTAAATCAGATGATTTAAATAATGTCATCTCTGATTAGAAATAATAAATTGTCAGAACTATAAACTTGACTGAAAGGAAAAATAAGACTAAGATAATTTGCTAGGCAATATTTAAAGAAAAAAAGAAAAGAATTTATTAATAAGAAGTTGTTGGGAAAAAATAATAAAAATACATAAATAATCTGTGTAATAACTGAAGTTAAATCAATGTAGGAACATTTTTTAAAATCAAAAATAATCTGTGTATAATTGAAATTAAATCAATGTATTTTTTAAAACAAAAATGCAATAAATAATCAAAACGCAATATATTAGCATAGATTAAAATTTAATTATAGGAATTGTTCAGACAATTGCATTTAAGTAGGGCTAAAAAAGACCTTTAAAATAAGTCATTGGGTCTAAAGTAAAAAATTTGATTTCCAACACAATGTTAATTGCACATAAGTATGAAGTTTCTATATACAGTCAGACCTCGATATAAGGTCACCCTAAGGGACATTGCAAAAGTGACCTTTTAACCGATTCATTAGCAGTTCGTAACTAAGCACGTAAATAGTACACATGAGGATTTTTTAAAAATGGTAATACAAACGAAACGAAAACAATCAGCCATAAATTAAATATTTAAGTCAATAAATTTTAACAGAATTAGTAAAGAATTAAAGAAAGCTAGATTTTTAAAAAAATTTTATTTAAAATATAGCTGTTTACAAATTTTCTCAAAGTGTGCATACATACATTACATCTTGCCATATTTAAAATAAATAATTTATGCAGGTCTGCCTCGTTTTCGTTTTCATTTTTCGTACAATTTTTTCTAGATTTTGTAACTTCTCAAAATGTTCCTCAGCTTCCTCATGGTTTGTAAAAAAAATTCGTATGACATTTATTCTATTGAAGACTTCTGCTTGGGTTACAGCTACAGTCTCAGGATCACTGTGAAACAATTTCAGAAATTGTAGCTTGTCCGTTGGTTGCAACATTTTCATAGAACTCGAGAGGGGTAATTGCCTTGTATAAAAGTTAAACAGGCTTTTGTTAGAAAAAAGCTCCCCTTGCCTCAGATAAAAATGACCTTATAAGTGATAACAATTTTTAAAACTTGACCATATATCCGATAATCTGTAACAAAGAATTCCCATTCAGTGAGCCCAAACTTTATATGCGGGGTGACCCTATATGCGGATGACCTTATATCGAGGTCTGACTGTATTTTTTATATTTTTTTATACCCTATAAGTTAAAATAAATTTGAAAGAGGAATTTTAAACTCTGAGACAGTCATCATATGTTTGTATAAAAATAAGATGAAGATTACTTACTAAATTTGTATGATAAATTTGGACTATAAAACACTTAATTTTTAACCTCATCATTTGCATTTTTAATAATGAATGCTTGTACAGTCTTTCCTTCATCCGATTCTTTAACAACTCTGTTCTTTTCCAAACAGGTTCTTTGCCTCGATCACCAAAAAGTTTCTCAGGCCCTGTAAACAAACAATATTTTATACAACATATTTCATTTCTAAGCCCATAAAAACTTATTACACTACTTACACTACAATTAATTAAGCATCATTGTCATCAATAATAGTTTGGTGCACCCCTTAAACATATTAGTACCAAATAAAATATAATTTATAATATAAATAAAATAATTGAAATAAATATAATTTATGATTAATTAAACCACATAGAATCTGTAGTGACCACATTTCTTAAGTTTAATAAACATTCATTCTTGGCGGATTTTAGAAAATAGACACTATTACATAATTTCACAGTAAATACGGCAGAATCTAAATAAATATACTTAGCAAAAAATTTTAATAAATAAAGAAAACTATTCTTATCGTAGTGTGGAAGTCATTGCCAGGAGGATGGGTCATTGGGTATATGTTTCCCTTAATATTTCAGACAAATAAAAACATTTTTCCTGAATTATAAGATTTAAATTCCTTAAAGATCCAAGATAGAGATTAAAATAAATCTTTCTGAAGGTATTCAGCATATATACATTTTTCATTTTTATACATTACAATACTACTACATACTAATACATTACATACTAATAATTACATTATTGAAATACATTTTTTCTCTTTAGAGAACAATTGTGATTTATTTAACTTCATCTCCCTGAAATACTGGGCCACAGTGATATTCATTATTTTTATTAACCTCAGCATCCTAACCAGAATGGCAGGTTCATCTTCTATAACTTAGATGGTGGTTAGATTCTCCATTAAAAAAACATCGATAAAATGATTTCTGAAGAAATATGACAGCCTAGAGAAAGCACTTATAAAAATGTAACTTAGAACTTTCATTCAGATAATGTATAGATATTTAATTAATGTTTCACTAAATTTCGGTAATAAACAAAAAGAATTATATTTTTTCCGTAACAAGCCTTAAACAAGTGTAATATACAAAATTTAATTTTATACAATTAATGTTCAAAAGAAAAATAATTATGAAAAAACAATGCTTTTATTAATAAAAACCAGCCCGTGCTTATCACTCACCACCTCGCCAAATGCGATAAAATCTTAAATTTGGTAAATAAAGTTGTGTTTTAGTGAAAGTGCTAGAGAATTATTTTTTTCCACTGGAAAGAAAATGTAAAATAATTTGTTTCTAAGATTTGCATTTGGCGAAGACTTTCAAAAATTAGCGATGACTTTACATAGTTGGCTAATAATTAGAAATCCTTAGTGCAGGCAACCCTTATAATAAGGTAAATTATGCATAAAATTACAGCTGCATTTATTATAAAAGTAATTTTAAACATACATTACCACGTGCGTTCTTAAGTTTAATGGCTATTAATAAAATACGTTAATTTAGTCTGAGTTTTTTGTTTGAAATGCAAACAAAAAGGGAAAGGAATTTTACTGCTTTCTCTAAAATTGGCTTCAAAAATCAGTTCAAAGTCATTTCCCCCATAAAATGCGTTAAAAATGTTTTCGGAAATAGGGAAAGTGGATTTCAAAGAAAAGTTAATTAAATAGAAAATTCACTTCGCTGTTTGGAAGTTATTTAACGAAGAAATTTCAAAAATGTTCTTTGTTCCTTGGAAAAATTTGTAAAATAGAGAAATTCGCAAAATAGAAGTTCGTTAAATAGAAGTTCCGACTGTATATAAATTCAATATCTAGGTATATAATGGCCTATGGAGCAAGAATGATAATTCATATTATTAAAAACAATGCTAAGACTGAAATACTTTGAACTAAATTCATTTCATATTATTAAATACTTATTAGAAACTAGTCGTGAAATAAAGGAAAGTTATTTCTATTGAACCCCTTGAGATTTGTAAGATAGATACCAAATAAAGAGAAATTCATTTAAAGTAGAAAAATAATTAAAAATAGTTCTTGGCAGCACAAATATTTTATCACTATTTTTTTAAAAAAATGGACAAGGTATTTAATAGATTTTAAAAGCATATACCTAAATAGACATAAAACTAAATGTGCATGATTGAAATATTTATTTATTTATTGACAATAAAATAGCAAATTATTTTACCTACAAATGCTAATTTATGATTTCAAAAATTACACTCCATTATTAACAGCACTCTGTTTTTTTTCCCCTTTTCCTTTCTATTTGTTCAACAGTATGAAATAAAACTTAAAAAAACATTGCAATTTTAAGAATATAAATATTGGATAAAAATATTTTCAATTCAAATAAACAATTTCATTAAAAATATTTATTTATATTAAAATATTAAAAAAAAGTAAAATCAAGTGGTTTAAATGAGGGCATGCCTGGTTAAATATTAAAAAATGAGGCTTATTTTTCGAAGAAATTAAACTTCCTAACAATTACAGGCCCCATAGAAACCTTGGCATTAGAAGGTCAAAAATTTATATGACTGCAAACCAGGGTTTCCGCTACGGTAGCTTTTTTCGCAAAATGCGAAAAGACCCCTCAAAAATGCTAAAATTCAACAAAGCATTTTCGCATTTTTGCTAAAGGATTTTATTAAACTCTGTTATAGAGTATTGTGCAACAATACCAATGCACACTGTTGACTGTGAAAGGGGCTTCAGCTGCCTTAATTTGATTAAAACTAATATTCGAAACAGGTTGTTAATCAACCATGTAAACAATTTGTTAATGATTAATATTGAGGGCCCTGAAAGTGCATTTAACTTTCAAGAAGCATTTGTAAAATGGGCAAACATGAAAGAAAGGAAGATTGTTAATTATAAACCAAAATGTTTTGATAAATAATAAATGTGTTTTTTTGTTTTGTTATAGGTATTCTTTTTGATATTCTTGTACATTAAGCTATTCTTTGTCAGATAACTTACAGTACTTGTTTGATATAAAGTAATTTTATTAGCCTAATGGCATTTTAGCATTTTGCTAAAACTTTTTTACAGATTTTAGCTTTTTTGCTAATGAAGTTTTAGACTCAGCTTAAACCCTGCTGCAAACAGTATTCTTACTTTCATCACCTAGAGGAGGCAAATAGTAGTCAACATACATTTCCCCAGCCTCTAACGTAAAATCCAAAGCTAATTCACAGACTTCTCCATATGGTGATGCACGAAATTCAGCAAGTTTCTCTGAACTTTCATGTAGCAACTATAAACATAAAAAAGACAATAAAATTTTTTTCAGAAGAACATAGCTTTGAAATGAGAAAATAAATTAATTTTGCAGAGTCTTAATATCATTTAACTCTTATTGGCAGGGATGCAGCAGAGAAATTCCAGCACTTTTTTTTAGTGAGGTGAAAAGTGGTTCTGAAACTTTAATGAACATACTATTGTGGAGAAAATGGAACTAGCAACGCCCCCTAGCGAGGAACTAGAAAAAAACTCAGAGACAGTGAGAGAGTGTGAACGAAAGGTAGAAAGCCTGCCATGTAGAGCTCCTTATTTTCTTCTTCTTCATATGTGTTTTATATGTTATGTTTGTGAATGTGCTGAGCACTAACTATAGTCATGTTGTTTACAATAAAATAGAAAGTTAGCAAGCCGGTTGTTTTAATTCCTCCCCCCCCCTATGCACGACACTTCACACTACTAATTTTCATTAAATAGTCTTAGCATTTTAAATTAAAAAAAGTTTTAGTATAATTTACACACAATGCTAACAAAGTGAAAGCTAACTTTTCTAATTCGCTAAGTTTGAAAACATTTATATTGGAATATGATAATGATCAGATGATTTGATAATTTACATCAAAAGTTATCTTTAATAATTATAAATACTTTTTCTCAACAGTAAGGTGACTCCAGTTCTGATAAATAAAAAAAATTTCACACTACAACGCATAATATACTAAGAAACTTTATAACTCCTCATAATACAGATGGTTGAAAATTGCTGGAAATAAAAAATTTTCTTTTAAAAAAATTTTTAATGCATCTCTTAAAAGTGTGTAATCTTCTGTGAACTGATAGAATCAAATTCTCAAATCCACTGATATTACTTGTGATAATTGCATAATTTGTTTTTTTTTTTTGTTAGATTACAGCTGATTTTGACGTGATTTAAAATCCCATAACATTTAATAAATATTACGACTAACGAACTTCGAATCATGCATTAAATTTTTGATGTACTTGTTTATGCCAATTTCATCATAAATGCAGAGTTATTATTCATGAATTATTACAACACATTTCTACAAAAGTGATAACTCAAGTTAGATTAAGATTTGAGTTATCACTTTTCGGCTAGCTCTGCTTTTACCGAATTAATCATAAAATATAAGTGATGCTTGTATCTTTTTTTGGTAGACTACTGCTGATTTTCACAGGATTTTTAGAATCCCAAAACATTTAATAAAGATATTACAACTAACGAGCCTCGAATCGTGCATTCAATCGTCAATCGTACTTTATTTATGTCTATTTCATCAGAAATTCCAAGTCATTTTTAGTGAATTATTACAAAACATTTCTACATGGTTTTAAAAGTCCTTATATTTTTAAATCCATATTATTACTACACTCAAAGTTGAATCACATATTTAAATAACACAGGAAAACAATTTTTTTCTATTGCGGGAGATTTTAAAATAGATTTTAAATACTTTCACATTGCTGATTTCAAATCAGGGTTGGGTTTTTGACATGACAAGGGTATAATACAGGTTTAAACCGTCAAAAACTGAAGTTTGCCAAGAAAATATATAAACTTTAAAACTACCAACAGTTGCCATGCTTTATATTGAAATTTAATTATACTATAGGTCAAGGGTGGCGAACCTTTATGCACCAACGTGCCATTCTTTCTAAAAAATTGTTTAATGAAGTCACAGACGTGCCGTCAAATAATTTTGACTTCATGATTATTGGGAAAATAATAATACTAAATACTATTTCATCATAAATGCAGAACTCTTTATTTACACTGAAAAAAATATATATTTTGCAATGTCTCAGTTATACGCGCAATTCAACTTAATAAGTTCACGCCGGTAAAAGTAAAAATACTGTTACGGGAAAAGACAAAATACTGGTAGAAGAACTATTTCAATATTAGATAATATTCGGGAGGAGTTAATCCATTCTCAACAATAACAATTCGCTGTAAGGAAATTTATCACGGCAAAGAAGCAACTCAATATAAAAATTGCATCCGTTAAAAACAATTGGTAGTTATGGATTTTTATTATTCCCGGAAAAAAACTAAAAAATGAAATTTATTGTTACCAGTTTCTACTCCGGTGATCTGCCAAGATGAGAAAATCTAGCGTGACCCACCGGTGGGTCACCCCGGCGTGAACGTGCTAAAGTAGCATCAGTGGGACTTCTGTTGTTGCAGATTAGATGACAAATAACTTATATTAGGTTGTAAGATATTAGTTTAAGCAGGACTGTTGATTTTCTTTTTGCTAGTTATTTATTGTTAGCTTGTTTTTTTATGGTTATTAATTGTTTTTTTAGCATTAATTGCTTTTATTATTAATTATTGTTTATTATTTTGTTTGTTTTTGTGAATTTTAATTTAATTGTTACATATGCTTCATAATGTAATAACATTTGTGTAATAACAATTCATAGTGCAATAACAATTGTGATCGGTGACGTGCCCAAGATATTGTGCAGTGTGCCATAAATGGCGCGCGTGCCATTGGTTCGCCATCCCTGCTATACGTAATCAGCAGGTTTTAAAATATTTTTTAATTAAAATTAAGGTAAAATAACAGATTTAAAATCTGAGAAATTTATATTCAAATGCATGTGCAGAAAAATTTGACACAAAAATTGTTTAAATATTTATATATAAAGATATTT